GTTATTGGGCTTTCCCTGTTTTCATGAGCTGCTTTAACAGCTCAAGGCCTAAGGGAAAATGAAACAAGCCCTAAGGCTGGGCAGGCTGGCGTGGACAGGACTGTAGGGCAGGACAAGGGGACGCTGCTCCCCGCATTCCACTTGAGCCTTCCTGTAACCAGGGCCTTGTGGCATCATGTTTGCTCAGGGTCCTATAGGGCCCATTCTAGCAGGGTTTCTGTGTTAACACGTTATGAAACCAAATATACATCCAACAAACAAGCCTGCGCTTACACTTACACTCTAGACATCCTCTAACTGATTTGTGATAGGATCAAAGATCTTGAAGCTTTCCCTGAATTTTACTTGCATAACACGGTGCTGGTGTCATTACATAGGCAAAATTCCTTCTGTTTTTTATGGGGTGGTGTGAGAACAGGAATATGGATCCCAGGGTTTGGCCTGGAGGGACTAAGGAACTATTGGTCCCTTCTGTATTTTCCATCCACTTTATCATAAGAAAAAAAATTACAGGCTGAGCTCTGAACATGATGCTGCTCCTGGCTAGCTGCTGTGCTCAGGAAAGCCCTGCAGTGCTTTACCTGGCTCTGGAGCTACCAGCTAATGATGTTTGCCTGTAACAGCTTGGCATCCTGGTGCTCTCCAGTGGGTGCTGCGGGGAGCACTGGCCCAAGAGCACAGCCTCGCTGCGGGGATAGGGCCACAGGAGAATTTCAGAGCAAGAAGGGACAGGACAAGGCAGTGCCAGTGTTCAGCATTGAGGAGACAAGTCATAAGGTGTTGACTGGCCAGTTCCAGGCTTCAATGCCTATGAACATTCCTACATTACAAAGAAGCCAAATATAAGGAGTAAAGTGCCTGGACACCCTACATTATTCTAGGCAATTGCCAAACAAACTGAAGAGCAGTGTTCATCTTAGTGTGAAACGGAGCAGTTAATCCCAGCAGGCAACCAGGAGAATTTAAACCTGCAGGCAGCCTTAAATGTAGTTCAGTTTTTTGTTTTGTTTGGACTATTACTGAGAAAGACTTTGTATCTGACCTTTCTTAATATCCTGGGTAGATGGTGTGGATGCAGCATCCTGGTGAGGATGAGGATGACTTGGAAGAATCAAAGAGAAACCAAACTGTTGGAGAAAGGACTAAGAAAAAGATGAGATTCAAATGGATATACTAAAACCTTTGACTTGCTCCAGGTATCAAATACTGAAATTACAGAAGAGAAAAAAAGATTCTCTTGATCAGGGAAGGATACAGAGAGGCTTCCAGACAAGGCAATATGAACTAGTTTCCCTTGCTTAATTAGAAACGTTTTTAAGGTGAAAAAAAAGCTTGCTTTAGATTATCTAATTCAGCCTCTGCAAGAACAGAACGTGCAGGCAGTAGCAGGGTGAAGCCCGCTCTATATCTGCTCTTGGTCAAAAGGCAGAGAAAACCAATTGGAAGGACTGTGAAGAACATCAAGTATCAAGAAATCCATGGAAAACAGAGAAAAGAGGAGGTAGGAAAGCAGGCTATTGTAAAGAGCCTGAACAGTAGCATGCAGGGGAAGGCACTTTATTCTTGCTGGACCCCTACGTGGTGGGTGGCTGTGGGGAGAAGACGGTGCTTTTCTCCCCTAAGTGCTGGGTGACTTTGCTCTAACTCTCCAGGGTCTCGGGAGAAATGAGCAGGAGGAGGAAGCCCTATCTTGAAGGAAGAAAAAGGTACTTGCTAATCTCAGATGGCACCGAGCTCACTAAGGTTCGAAAAAGCAGGTGGCTGACAGGAGTCAAATAGGAATCCCTGAGAAGACTGGAAAAAAAATAATCAAATGTAACATTTGGCCCCCTTCTCTTGCTCTAGCCAATAGACCACTCTTGAGATAAAACAGAAGCAGCAAAACTCCTCTCCTTTCAATTGAGCTTCATGGAGACACTTCCAGGAACAAGATAAACTTGCCAGATTCCTGTAGATCCCTGTTTCCTAACTGACACACTAAATACCAATCGGGAATGAGAGAGAGCCAGAGATACTTCCAGCCTAAAGGAGAACTGCTAGGACACGGCACTAGTAGGGTGCTGTAAACTGGAGCCTGGCCTGCAAGCATTAGTGAAATGTTTAGTAAAGATACTTAAATCTGTTATATGAAGGTATCTCTTTCTCATTTGACTAAAATGTTACAAATATTACCACATAAATGAATTGCTATATTTGTGTCTACTGGGTAAACTATATACATCATTGTAAGAAAAGAACTGTAATTAAATTAAGGGAGGAAAGAAAAGGATGAACAAAATATTAGTAAATAAAATACAAGACATATGTTCAATAATACTTTTCAGGCAATATTTTTGCTTGTTGCATTTACCATAAGTAGGAGAAACTTTCCACTCAGAATAAAGGGTGGAAACAGCTGCCCAACCATCAGTCCTTTGCCATTTTCAGAACACTTGACAGCCAACTCTATGGGTTTGGAGGGTATCCATGTGGTCTGGAGATGTGGATGGAGCTCAATAGAGCCTTTGACTTTGATGGAACTCAAGACAGCCGTTGACTTTAACACCCTACAGAGTAGCCTTCAGTTCTCTGGAGCTGTTGATGCAGCCGGTGTTTTTAAAACGCATCGTGAGCACATGTTTGCAGACCATCCCACCTGGTGCTGGCACTGGTGGCACTCAGTGCTCAGTCGGACTGTCCTCCTAGCTCCCGCTCTGGAGACACCCTTCCTATTCCTCTGGTTGCAGGAAACTTCTATGCCTTGTCCTTGATAAACAGGGAAGAAAAGAGACTCAGCTCTCTTGGAAGCACACAGGTCACACAGCAGTTTCCTGTTTCTTTCCAAAATAGAGAGGGTACTTGCAGGTTTTCCCCTATATGCTCTTATTTTAAAATTTAAACACAAAGGTTTTGACACAGTCGCTTTCCTAAGCTACAGAGCACGGCGCAATAATGAACCATCTCACACGGATGCCTTTGACAGCACAGCCGGACTGTACGCAGAGCTTTTTACATTTTGCCAAGTGAATAAATTATTCCAAGAAGTGATTCACTATTTGATGAGATCTATAGATAGCGGATTTCCTATCTGATGAAAAACTGCTATAATGAGCTTACTAGGCTCACTAGATCAATTATTTTTCCAGTAGTTTCTTCTGTTGTTCGACCAGCTCTAGTTAATACATAGGTACTAAAATACAAACAAGTGCAAAAATGACCATATAGCAACTACAGACCACAACTTTTTTGCAGGTCCACTATAAAGGAGGGGCTCTTGAGTCACTGCAGGGGATTTCTTCACCAGGTTGGTTGTGAAGCTGAGGAGAACCAGAAGCACAGGTCCCAAGAGCCCTTTCTTCAGATGCTTTAGCATTCACAGTTAACATGGTATGGGGTCTGGAGGGTTTTTTCCCCTTTGGTAATACCTGAGGCTTCTTCTTTTTTTTTTTTTTTGTTTTCATATTTGTTGCAATGTAATCAACTCTAACTGATCATCCAGAAATGTTTTCTTCACTGCTGCAAGAGCATTTAGGCTGTCTTCACCAAGGCAAAATGATTGCTTTGCAAGCATTGGAATTTCTTTTCTTCCTTTAGCTTGAAGAGAAAAATCTTTCTCTCTGAAGAAGGCAACTTCTCTCTGAAGAACGAAAAGAAAGGATTGTGCAGACCTTGGAGGCGGTCTGCGTACAAACAGAAGTTTACATACAGACCTAGGCTTGTAATTTAGCAGGTTATAGGCTTGACTGTGAGTGAACATCTTTCTCAGCCTTGCATTTTGGGCTTGGGAACCTGGAGACTTTATCCCTTATAGTTTCCTAGGGCCAGCTCTGATTATCTCACAGCATACTGAATGACCAGAATTATTTCCTTAGTGCTGTGAGTAGGACGGGATGTGCATGGGACTTGGCTGCGTCTGCTTGCACACCAGCAGTCCCTACTGCACACAGCTTTCGAGTGCTGGGGTAACAAACAGCTTGAATTTCTTGATCATGAAGATTTTTGATCCATTCAGTCTGTGTGATTAGCATATGAGAAAAGCTTTGACTCAAGCGTGAAGGGCTTGGATGCAGAGGGCATTGCTTTTCATAGCAATATTTACCTTGGCGAGACAGTCGGGGACAAATATGTATCACATATGCTCACAGTTTAGCATGGACTCGTATTCGCAAGATCAAACTGTGCAGCATCTGCGATGGAAACCAGAGGAAGCTTTAAAAAGAAGAAAAAAGGGATCTGTCTCCCAAAAGGAAACACAACATTGCTGCTACACTGCTGGTGCCTTGAGAGTGTATGCACATGTGTACGTGCAATGCTGTTCTTAAAGGGTGTTGCATGCACGCCCACACAAGCATGTGCATGTGTGCCAGGAAATTTGGTTTATTTTACCTTAGCAGACTCTTACTTAAGGCATTGAGGATGCCTTGCAATCATTAAAGATGCATCTCGATCAAGGTGCATCCCCAAATTGCTGGTTTGACAAAGAGAAAGCTCAGAGAAGCAAGTTTAGTCACAGTGTGTACCCCACAAGCCTAAGAGAGCAGCCCAGGCCTTGCTGCATGGGTGCTGTCTGCCCTGCATGAATTAAGAATGAGTTCTGGGAAAATACATTGCAAATTGTAACAAACACGTTTTGAGTATTTCAAGACCGTTTAGGCAGGGCAAGATACTGAGTTAAGAAAAATGTTGTAATTTTGGATTTTCTCCAAAAACAAAAAGTTAGCATTTACGGCTGTTGTTTTTGACTGATCCTTTACAGCTTTGTGCTGTATAATCCTTGCAGGTTGCATGAAAGGCCAGATGGATGACTCCTGCTTCCAGACTAGCTTGACGTGACTCTTGGTGACTCACACAGAGTAAAAAGTGAATGAAGGAACTTCATTCCTTGAAACACGTGGGAATTACAAGGAATTGCAAGGGCCAGTGACCAGTCCCAGTTAGAGGAAGGAGGAGAGGAGGCAGCCCTGGGCTGCGGCTCCTATTCATGATTCTGAGAGGCAAATTTTCAATGTATTACATATGTTGCACTAGGCCTTTAAAGGTAGCAAGATGGGAGCTCCTAAAGGGTTTCCGTGCACATCAGAGATGTGCCAGAAGAAACACGTGAACCAGTGTGCCGTCAGATTTCCCTTCTCCTTCTCCCCAGCCTCTTCCCTCAGGCACGGAGGCATATGAGCATTTAGCGGTGTCGAGAGAGGCACAAGAGGCCCTGGATCAGCTCGGGCCCGTTACACCGGAGGGGCAGAGTAGTGAATGACGGAGTTGTAATCTGGAGGTGGGCTGTGGCATTCCAGGTTTGGATCCATAGGAAGGAGAACAGAGTCTTCCAGTGTGAAGTCCATGGTGTCTTCTTCAACCTGGACTGCTGGCTGGTACTTGACAGCCTCGCGCTCGTGGTCGGACAATATGGATTCCTTGCTCTTGCTAACAGCTCTCCGCCTGTTGAGAACAAAGTGTAACATATTGACACTGTCTTCACAAGGGTTTGCCTCTGTCTGTAATTAATGGTCAAAAATAATTTGAAATATATAAAAATAATTTGAATACAATTTTTGTGACCTTTTACATACTGGATTATAAGGGAACTGAATTATTCTGATAACTCAGTGCATCAAAGGTATATTTGAAACTGAATCCAGAGGTCCTCATGCCATGTCTATTTAATTTACCAGGTTTTATCTTAGTTATAAGTGCTCCTGTCTTATACATACAAGAATAGTCTCTCTTGTTCTGACAGAAGTCAATAAAATCTGACTTTTCTGAAATCAAAACTTAAGGCTATGGCTTTTCTTTAAGTATAATAAAAGATGAATTACTGACTAATCTCTGATAGACTCTAACTTGAAGTAATACTGAAAGCAGCAGTGTATGTTGAACAAGGTGTGTAGGGCAAAAATGTCTCTCCTATTCTTTAACCCTTTAAAATGACTGTGCAGCCAGCCAGTGAAGAGCAGTGCTTCTCCACGTTGTAACTGCTGGCCTGTGACTGATGTTATTAAAAGAGAGGCAGGTCTCATTTTCTGCTGTCTTCTCTTATTATAGGTGATGCAGGCAGTGGGAGAGAAGCATCCTTAGAGCAATCCCAATGGAGAAAGCTGGAGAGCCCTGGAGAGGATTCCTATCATGAGCTGACCTTGAGGAAAGGTAAGCGTTGTGAGCAAAAAGACTCCTTCTGTCACAGACTGCCATAAAAATCATGATTTGTTAAGCCTAGTATCTTCCGCCTGAGAAATTTTATGGAAGATTTCTGGATAATTTAGAGCTTGTTCTAATAAGATCCCAACCTGAGAATGGTCTTTGGAGTTTCTCTGCCTTGCTTAGGACTATCTAACCTGCATTTCTTTGGAATAAGCCACACTCACAGACTGACTATGGCACTGCTCATGTGTCAGTTCAGCGTGACTCATGAATGTGTCTGAGAGAATTTTAAATTAGACAGTACTCAAGCACTTTGTGTCCCTCTTTCACATGTGTTTCAAGAAGCATAAAGTTGCATTCTAATGACCCTAAAACAAAATCAAATAATTGACAGTTCATTAAATAATCATATTATTCATTACAATTATTTTATTTGTTGGTATTACTGCAGTGCCTAGTGGATCAGGAATCCAGAGTGCTGGGTGCGTTACAAAAAAGGCAAAGCCCGTTCCTGCCCCACGAAACGTAAAACAATAGCTGAGAGACAGATGCAGTAACTGGAGGAAGAGGGACAAAAGTGCTGAATAAGAATAGTAGGTCCAAGACACAAACTGTTTGCACTGTTGTGATTTGTAGATATTGCAGCTGAGAAAACCACTGCAGACTTAAGAGCAGTGCAGACTTGATGCTGGGTATGATCAGCACAGCTCTTTTCACTTGAAGGGGTAAATAAATATGTCCTGCTATGTTATGTTACTATGTCCTTAGAAGCAGGGTTATCCTGCCTCTGAATCTGGAACCTGCCCAAAGCTTCATGTTTCCAACAAGCTGCAGGTAGCCTCAGTGTGGCTGACAATTGGTGTTGGTATTTTCATTTAATATTTTGCTATTTCGGGAAAGGTCGTGAGTGTGCACGGATAATGCAGTGCATTGGCTAGGGTGAAACACTGGTTTAGTAATCTGTCTCCAGCTATATTTAACAAACTGTAGTGTCCCTCCGTGAATCATCCCTCCCTGTAGTTCACTTCTTGGGGAGGTCTGTGGAGTAGTGATATTCTGTATATCATAGTCCGTGAAGCCATTCATTCCATTAGCCATGAGCTAATTGAGATGTTCAGCCAAAATCAGACATAAACAGCTGTAATTCTCATCAGGTGCAATGGGAGTTTGGCTACTTTATAGTTGGCCTGATTTTAGCACGAGATGGTGGCTCTTCACAGAGTATTTGTATCTCCAGCTTGGCCCCTAAGAAATGAACCCAGGACATCTGTGTTATAGGAGTCAGGCAGCCATTTCTTACACTTCTAGACTAAACTGGAGTTTAAACTAAACTTCTAGGATGCAAAAACAGAGATTACAGATTTAGGGCAACATTACTGCACTCCTAGATCTGCCCATTGAAACTAAACCTGGGTGCCAAAGCAGAAAACGGAAAATAAATAGTAACCCTGAGAGCCCCAACAAGGTATCACTTTCTCTGTAGATAACTTTTTCTCCTGCATAAGCAACAGAACCACCACTTTGTTTCATTGTTTATTTATATATTTTACATTTTGTTGCTCAGTCCTGTTGACTCAAGTTGGCCAGTTCCATGGATGCTCTGACTCCTAATCTGCCAGGTATTAAAGTTGTCAGTGGAGACAGAGAGAAGCTTGAAAATATCTGTTTAACTTGGCCCCCCACCTGCACGTCTCAGAGGGCTGGAGAAAAGAAATGTTATTAATGTTAGAGCCATGTAGACTCCCAGCAAATGTTCCTGTGTAGGTTTCTGCCCCTCTAGGTCAGGAGATCAGATCTGAGAATGACTCTGCCTATCACTGAAATCATGCTGGTGTTTGAAGAAGGACTCTTAAACAATGACATTTAATATTTGCTCCAGTGGCAGAAAGCTGATGAGTTAGGTCAGAAGCAAGTTTGATCATTAGCCATCTTACAGCAGACCAAAATGCAATGAACTTTCAAAACTGTTCCTTTCATTCTAATTACATTACCTACATTAAAGCTATCCAAGAGTCTTTGCATTTTCCCCTTAACGCTCTATATTTACCAGCACTTCATTCTGCTGTTCCTGCTCAGCAACAGAGTATTGTGTGTATGCTTAGAGAGTGTGTTGGGAAACTAGGCTGCAGCTTCCTTCTTCTGTCTGCCCTTGAAATTCCATTTGCTTTATAGAAGCTGCCACACTGAATCAGACAGTGGGGCCGTCCAGATCTTGCCTCCAGCACTGGTCAGTACCTGATGCTTCAGAGGGAAGCAAAAATCCCTCTATGCTCTGAGCCAACTGTATTGTCCTGCAGATGAGGGCAAAATCCTCCCTGAGCCCCACAGATGAGCCTTTTCTGACCCAACATATTCAATTTGGTTAATCATGGGATTATGTAGCTACAGAAGCTAATAGTGGTTACATAATTAAAAAATCTTGTTAAAAGTTAGCCATTATTTGATTCAATGCTTTTCCTGGATTGACATTTCACACCATGATCAATTTGAACACTTGCAATTTTGTCCTTGCAAGAACATGTGTCATTGGGGGCAGCATAAGGGGAGAGATGAGAATCTGAGCACTGTCATTCTCTGACCTCAAAGAAACACTGTAGACAAAAGGACCCTTTTCCCTACGTGCCCCTTTGTACACAGTGCTGCTTGGGGAAACGCGGTCACAGGAGATGGGGCTTCAGCCTTGTTTTATACAAGGTACAAAACCAAGGAAAGCACTGCGGGAGCTCATACGGAAAGGTTAGAAGAGCAGACATCAGGTGCGGCTACTAAGAGTGACATTGCTAATTACCAGCAAATCCTCCTACTCGTTCGGTCTCATGACTCAGCCGCAATCTTGGGCAAGTGCCTTCTATATGGGTGTGGGCACTGAGATCCCTTTGCAGTCCCCATTTCTTTGCTCTGTCAGATAATCTGGTAGTGATGAATCTGGAAAGACTAGTAACTAAACTAGGCAAAGGGAGACAGCTTGAATATTAAGTAATGGTTCACAAACTTTTTTAGATTTTCCAGAGAAGTGTCAAAGTTGTTTAGAAGATAGCACAGAGGATGATCCTGAAATAGAAAGCCTAAATGACCTAATGGGACTTTCTCATCCCACTCCATGAATCATGATTTTGGTTACAAGTAGAAAAATACTGAAATCACGAGCTGGGAAATCATTACCGGGGCTGTGTTTTTTTTTTATGTGAGAGGGAGCCTGTTTCTAATAGCCTACATGTCAGGGTCAGTGGCTTGAAGGGGAGCACAGAGGAAGAGAGATGACTAACAAAACCACCCAAGCCAGGGAGCAACTCTAGTACAAGGTGCAGCTCCTATTCCCGGGGCTGTGGAGCTGCTTTTATTGCTTGCCAGGAACTATCTTGCCCTCTGTAGGAAAAGCTAATGGACTCTTATGTCCATTTAGAAATCCTGGACCTGTTTGGAAGCTGCATTAAGGAAGATGAGAAATTGGTCTGAGCCTTGCCAAGTATAGCAGTTTGTCTTACGGCCACATCTTGTAATAATATGTAGCAGCTTCAGGGCCTTATAACAGCTTTCATAGGTATTTAATGAGGCACGGAATAACACGATTAATTCTTTTCATTTTTTTTTTTCTGCAATGAAATAAATAGAAGGGTTGCTTTTTCCTTTAGCAAGTATGATTGATTCACAGTTTGCTTTAATACATTCTGCAAGGAGCACCATGTGGTAGGAATTTAGTACTCGGCTCCCCTCTGGCAGTACCAATGCATCAGTGGTCCCCAGCCAGGGGAGGCTCAGGGGTTAGGATCAGGAATTCAGCATTCTGAAACCTCTCTAAACCCAAAATACAGCTCAGCTGAAGTTTTAACAGACCTGATTGCATATGCATCTGTGACAAAGCTGAGCAGGCACCTGAAATTTAAGCCACCCAGAAGGAAAACCTCAGACACCAGCTCCAGCCTTAAAAAACAAGGGAGATGAAAAGCACTGCAGTCAAACCCAAGGTGGGAACCACAGCCTTTCATACCTCTCCTCTGGGTCCTTGCCACTACAAGCATCTAGAATAACCCTAGGAAAAAATCCTCTTACATAACCCTCCAAATTCCTCCTGATTCCAGTTCTGTATGTTTTGGAAGCTCAGGTCAGGTTGCTGTGCAAGGTACCGCATGACACCGCAGTAATGACATTTTACCCGCAGAGTGCTAAAACTAACTCCTGCTGTGAGCTTCCTTCCAATTTTCAGTTTTGTGAGATGCTGCAACAGGAATGTAGCCCACTCAGCTTGGTGACGTTTTCTTTGGGCACGTCACAGCTGGATGCAAACGCCTGACGCTTCTGCACAGAGTCATTTTGTTTCCATACTGCTGACTCTTGCTCAGGCTCCGCTGGGCTTTGGCAAAGGCAGAGCCCTCAGGGATGGGATCTGCAGTGTCCAGAGCCCCAGGCACATCCAGCCTCGCTCCGCTGTGGTCATGCGGCTGTGCCAGAACCAGGCAAGTCACTTGAGAGCAACTGCGGATCATCAGATCGGGTGCGGGCGGCAAGGGGACGCAGGGAGGGCGATGAGGCAGATAGAACCTATTATAATTTTAAACAATAACTTGATTAAAGAGTCTCTGGGAGAATTTTAAAGCAGTGCTTGGCAGCGGCCTGTTAATATTACGAGATGAAACCTGACACCAGAGTCATCCCATTGTCACGTCCCCTCCACACTGAGTGTCTCCTTGAACGCCAACTCCAATGTCATTAGCCTGGTCACTGGGGCTGTCTCTCGCCTATCTACAGCTGGAGAAACTGCTTGGAGCATAGACTCCTGCCCAATCCAGAGTATCAGCTTCATCTGCAGTAAACTCTTGACACTGGCGTTGATGGGGTGTGTAGTGTTGCCAAATTTTAGAGGCGATAGGGAAATGAGTGCAAGATAAATAAACAGCAAACTTTTTGGCAAAAATAATACATGTAGCCACCCTAGTTTAGAAAATAGGGAAAGCCTTTGAACAGTTTTGTGTTAGACAAGAAGGGCTGTTTGAAAGTGATCCAGGGTAAATGTTTTTGATAGAGAGATACACAATTAAGAAAGGTGACTTTATCATTCCGATTAACGCAGTCCTTTCCTCTGACCTCTCCTATGCATTTGGAGGCTCTTCCGTGTGCTTGTTAGGTCTGTTTTTCAAATTAGCAGTATGGGAGGGCCAAGGGGTGACGTGTCCTGAGATGAGAGGGCATCAATACATTCTGTGATTAATATGTAAGAAAATATTATTTGTACCAAGACAGTCTGCAGGATGTTTTCAGACAAACACTGACAAAAAGCTGCCTCAGCTGGACCTCAAGCCCTCAGCGAAAGATCTGGCCAAAAAGACACAATCCCCTGCCCGTTCAGTGGTAACTAAGTCCTGAGAAGGAGGAGGAGACAAGCAACTTGTGGCAGGGTTGGCTTTTAGAGCAGACATTTAAGATGCTCTTTCATGGTCTCGCTGGCACAAAAGTGTCAGGTGTCTTGGGCAGGACAGGATCCCTAGGGCTGGGTTGGCTGTGAGCCCCAGGTGGTTGGTCGGACTCGCTGAAGGCAGCGGAGCAGGGCTGGTTCACATTCGCTCCCAGGGGGTCCCTATCAGCTCAGAACATTTCCAGGAAATCTGAGAAGGACAGGCCGTTAGGGAATTCTGTGTCTCTGCTTCTGTTTGGCTGTGGATTTTTCTGATATTCAGCAGAAACCTTGTAAGGGAGAAGGCAGGAAACTTTGCTCTGCCACTATTCCCTCCAGCTATTTGTCCAAACAGTGGGAAACTGCAGGGTGGAAAACATCAGTCAAAGTTTTTTCACAGAAATCTTTAGAAGGACAAATCTTATCAGGAAGGTTGTTTTCTTGTGTTGGATTTGTGTCAGCATGACGTTATGCAGAAGAGCAAGGTAAATCAGGCCTCAGAGCAATGCAGCTTGATGCTCTTCCTATGCGGACCACTCTCAGGAGAGCTGGTGCCACTTGGTCTCCTTAGCAATGCATGGTGCTGTGCAGAAACTCTTAGCATGTCCAGAAGATGCTTAGCTAGAGCTCCACTAACCCTCCTGGTGTTGGAGAGCTGCAGCGTGCGAGCTCTCCAACACCACAGGGATTGGGCCTTCCCTAACTGATCAACCCTCTCGCTGACCGAGCAACTTGTCTGGTGGGAGAGACACTGACTTTAATAAAGAGGAAACAAGCAGAATCCTTAGCAGCAGATTTCTTAGAAAACTCTCAGCAATTCAGTTAACGTTTAATAATAGAATCATGGAATCATAGAATCGTAATGGTTGGAAAAGACCTTCAAGATCATCGAGTCCAACCACAAACCCATCCCCATCATGCCTGCTAAACCACGTCCCTAAATGCCTCCTCTCCGTGTTTCTTGAACACTGCCAGGGACGGGGACTTCACTACTTCCCTTAATTGGAAAAACATGGAATTCCTTGCTACAGAATTGTTCTTTGAAAATTCAGTTATTCTTTGAAATTCTATGAGTTGGCATTTGTATCTATAAAAGGGTTACCAGTTCTATTATGCTTTCCTAGCAAGGTAGAAATAGCAGAGATCTATTTTACTACCAGGTTAATGCTCTGTGCTTGTGCCTACTTGTATTTTGTGGATTGTTAGAGAAATACAAAAACCGGGGGCTTTTATTCTGTGATGCTCTGTGCTATGAGTGCATAAGCATATAGCCAACTTTGCCATAGTCTCTATTTGGAAACCAAGCATGAAAAATCTAAGTCTTACAATCGTGATGATAGCAGGACTAAGGACTTTTCCAGTGGACTCTGTCATATTTATGAAAGAGCAAATGCAGACAGCAGCGTTCTGCTAAATATACTTGCTTTGCAATGCTTAGGCTCTCTTCTATGAAACATTGCTTCTTAAATTTTCTCACCTGCCATCAGCTGCAAAGGTCTAAGTCCTTCTTGTTGTCTAAAGTTAGATATATCTTTGGTTGTTACAAGTATAATTATAAATATTGTTCTATGGATTAATAAATAAAGTTAACATATTCTTCCCTGAGTAAAGGAGAACACTTGAAGAGGCAGTAGAGAAAGCTAATGCAGCTATGTATATTCTCAGCTCTTTTGCTCCTGTCACTTGCCATGTGCAAGATACTGAGTCTCCAGAGATCAGACCATGAACATAAGAAAACCAGATTTACCAGAAAGTCAGCACTTTTTTCTTTGAATATGAGGCAGAATCACAAGGCAACTTTGTCTTTTTTTTTTGGAAAAGGAGTTAAATTGGTTGAACAGACATTATGTGCTCAAGGTTGATGAAATGGGTTTTCATTTTTATCATATGATCAACATTTTCTATTATTATTTCTGCATTGTAAGTATGGCAATGCAGCTTTCCTTCCAGAGACCTGGAACTGTGCTTTGTGTTCAACTTCTTTCTGGAAGCAAAGTTTAAATGACAGTTTTCATGATCTTAAAATACCTAAACCATGGTCTTTCTATTATAGTATTGAAATCCAGAGTTGCTTCTCCTTCTACCCTGGTTAGATTGTCTAACAGTTTTTTTGGTGGGGGATGGAACCAGAAATAAAATGGAAAATTTCAAGAGCATTTATTGAATGCTCTGGCTTCAAAAGGACATGCAGGAAATACTCACGCTAGAGCCATGATTCCGTAGGGCCAAGAACGGATTTCCAGCCGCTTTGGGCTTTTTATCTCATCAGAAGTCAACACCATCCCACTATCTGACTCCTGTGTAGCAAAAGGAGAGAACATCAGCCTTATTGTAGTATTCAGACTGACTGAAATAGAACAAATAATCACAGTGATCAATAGATAAAAAGCAAGTTTTTTATAAATGGTTTGGTAAGGGAACAGTTGCCAATAAATGTCAGGAAACTGGTTTGCAGTATGTAAAGTAAAATCTTAAGTTGATTAGTTCGTCAAAAGCTCAAGTCAGCAACAGCAAACATTTCTCTCTTTTTTATCTTGCCTATTTCCCCTTAAAATATCTGAGTCTAGAAATAATTTATCTGAATTGCTACTTTTCATTTAGCTTACAGAAAAATTATTAAGAAAAATATCATTGAGGACTACAGATAGGTAGTGCAAGAAGGTGTGCTGCAGCACTTCAGCAGTTCCTGGGCAGCTATTTGAAATAATGACCTAATCAGTACTAACGACTAATTATAGTCATTTGAGTGCATTTACTGCGTCCAAAAGTAGATGACACCACAATTTTGCTTTAAAAGATCCCCGTTGCATTCCCACATTAACTGCTGAGCTGTTAGGGTTTTACCCTTTTCTGTAATTTGGGGACAATTCTCCTTTCTGTGGATGGGTGTTAGAAATGCCGTGAATGAGGAGCACTTTGGAGAGCAGCGCTTGGGTTGGCCATGGTAACCTCGCAGTGGTACCACATCTATCTAGAAATTGTCTTTGAGTGAGGAATGGATTTCCATCCTGCAAAAGGGAAGAGCCAGAGAAAATCCAAGCCCCCTTCCTGTGCTAGAAGCTTTCCTGAGGGCTCCATGCTTCCTCCCTAGACTTCTACCTGCTTCCAACATGCATCACAAGGTTTCCTCCTTGGTGGCACTGAACAGGGCTCAAGATAACTAGTGTGGAGTGCGTATGACACTGAAGCCAATCAGCACCTCAACCGTACAGGAGATTCAGAAGCCTTGTTTTTTATTATTATTTTTTTAAATAAGGAAGAAAGAATAGCAAAAAACCTGAACACCCTTGGAACCTGTAATTTCAGAGGAATCCAATAAGCAGAACTGTCCTTCTGCAACAAAACAAGCTCTCCACAGGGGTCGAAGCGAAGCGTTTCAACTGCCTCCCCCCTGCAGAGCCCTTAACTGAGCAATGAAACTGTTCTCCTAAAACAGGGAAAATCCAGAAGTAGAGCCCTTTGAATAGAGTAAAGCAGGAACATGAATGTTGGTCCTGTCTGTCTGAACTGAATGTCCTCACCACCAAGCTGTTGGCTAGCTCAGCAGGTCTGCACTGGACATGCTTCCACCACAGGCTGTGTTTCAGTGAAGTGCAATTTTCTTATGGGGAAAAAACAATAAATTGAAATATATTCCTGACCAGCTGTAATATAAAGCTCATTAGCCTGATCAGAGCTGGAATAATCATTCATGAGCTTCTCTTTAAATTATTCATTAAACAAAATGCAGATCCCTTTTTGTTCTTACGTGTGCAATCCTACAGCCTAATCTTCTGCTTGATTTAAAGCCTTTTTTTTTTTTCTACTGAACACAGCTTTCAAAAGCTTTAGTAACTGTTTCTGGTGCTGGTGACAACTGATGTGTGAAGGTGGGGGAGAAGGACGCAATCACCTCACTTACCTCATGCTTCACTTTCTCCTTTTCCACTGGCACCTCATCAAACGTCTTCACACTCAGTGGCCGCTTCTTGCTGTTGTTACTGAAAGCAAGAAAGTTGAGGGGTCAGCATGAAACCCAAGCAGATGCTGCAGCAGTTGGTAGCTCAGTTCCCATTGCAGACACAGCTCTGTTTCCATACCAGACTTCCTTTCTCAGATCTTGTGATGAATAAGCAATGCCCGGACAAACAGTATCCAAATATGTGTGGGGAAAAATGACCGTCTTGGAGCTCCTGCTAGGATCTACCTTTTTATTCCGTCTTCACCAGAGACACCAGTGGTTTATAAAGTCAAAATTGACCTTCTCCATTTTATTTTTATTTATTAAATACAAAACACTGAGCATCCGATAAGGAAAATCCCTAGACCTACTATGTATTAATGCTGAACGAAGTACCATAGATGCTGTTATGATTCTCCCAATACCTATTAGATAGTAACCTAATATGGCTCCAATCATCTCTAGTTTTGTTTTGCAAAACGATGAGTGACATTGTCTTTACCCTCTGTTATCCAGAAGCAGGTACAGGGGACCATTACTCCTCTCCAGCATCCTCCCCCAGCTACACAGATCAGGGGAACAGACGGAATAAGTGGTTCAGAAAGCACAGAATGGGGCTCAGTCGTCCCTGCTATGCAAGGGAGGGATACCTCACAAAATTAGAGTCACACAGAGAAGCTTCACAGTCAAGAGCCCTCAAGCAAGTCAGACCCTGTCCCCCGGCCTCGTGTCACGTGAGCTGATCAGCCAGGAACGTGTCTGTCAAATTCCTTAAAAATGGTAGTTTTAAGAAAGGATGTCAAGTGGTCCCCACTGTAGCTAATCTTTCTCTCATACACTTACACATTTTCTTACCTAGTTTCCACTGCACTCCAGCGGTTGATGCAGTTCAAATTTTCTTCCACTGGGCCAGTTTTGGAGTTAGATTCTCCATCAGGGCACAATGTGATGTTCAGTGGAATATAGTCTTTACCATCCTAGATAATAAATTACATAAAAGAAAACAAATCCAGGAAAGATTACTTTGCACTGCATCTCAGCTATTAAAGGTTACATTCTGCAGAGCTTTGCATTGAGAAGGGTCTATATTCTATTTTCATTTTACATTTTGATATTCCTTTAACATGGTTAGGATGTCCTTTGCAACATGTGGAAATGAGGGCGTGTGGCTCTACTCAGTATTTGTTGTGTAGGAGGCTTTGCATGAGCAAAATCAGTCACTTGGAAATCCACTAAGCAAAAGAGCTGAAAACTGTCTCTGCAGTTCCCGTGCTCTGCTGCAATTAGCGCCTTTTCTCTTCCAGGCATCTCGGAGTGACCTAGGGCTTCATCTCTCTTCCTAGCACAGACCACACTTCCAAACGTCCCTGACATGCGGCGCTGCGAAACAACGGTTACCCTGAGCATGTCTAAATATATATATAAATATATATATATATATATATATGTATGTATGTATGTATGTATGTATGTATGTATGTATTTATATATGCACCCGTTTAAGAGAGCTGCCTCTGCCGCCTCTCCCAGCAGCGTCTCGGGTGGGTTTCCAGTGTGTCCTCCTCAGTGCTGCTTCCTAAACATGTGGCTATTCTGGCCCAGCCAGGCTGAACACAGCTCCACTCATTTGCACTTCAGGAAAGCCGTCCTCTATGTTCCCACTGGGATGGCCTCCTTGGGAATCACAGGGCACTGATCTCATGGGCATCTCATTCCAAGTTTAAGCCACGTGCTCAGGAGTAGGGAGGGAACAACAAGAAATCACAAAGCACCGATTGCTAATACAACCCTAATGGGTTTTAGACTAGGAAAAAGAATATTGCCCAAATAAAGAGATTTTTGCTTGTGTTCTGCTTAAGGATTATGGTTTAGCAAGAGCCAGTCCTTAATACTGTAGCTGAAAAATGTTTTATTTCCTGACTTGACAGGAAATCGGTGCTGTAACTTTAATGGAATTCTTTGCACATCGTAATGAGCTATGCAGCCTCACTGCAGCATTGCAATAATCCTTAGAAATGGCTCTTTGGTTAAGTCCTAAAAGTATTTTCCAACTTTCATTTTGCTTGATTTTTTTTTTAATTCTGAGAAGCAATTAAGTGCCTTGGTCCCTTATCATGCGTCTTATGTCTCCTTAATTTCCTTTGGTTACAGTATAAAACTCTTAAGCTCTTCACAGGGCAAACTGGCCCCCTTTGCTTCACTTAAAGTTGTTTACAAACAGGCAGGAGCTAAAGGAGAGTGTTTGCTTTCTTCTTAAATTAAATTTACAGTTATGTAACTGCCCTGGCTGTTTTTACCAAAGAAGAAAAAAATTGATTTAGCTATTATGAAATTAATAATTATGTAATTGGCTTTCTGAGATTTAAACCACATCATTTTAAAGCTCCTAAGAGCACTGATGAACACGAGCTCAGAAAATGAGAAAGTTCAGACTATTGGCAGTTGACTGTGCTGGCATCTAATTAAAATTGTTTGTGAGATAAAGCACTATTGTTCCTCTAAGGGGCCACTGAGCCCTTTTTTAATTAATGTACTGCAAGTTTCTGCTTATTATGGATGGATAAACATCCAGTTTTTCAATATAATCCCCTTTGAATAGGTAACATTTTCTTTACTCATCTCAGCAGCCATAGTCTTTATGACAGCTGTTACGAAGTCAAATCTTGCACTCTGGCTCAACATAGTCTTTACTGTGCACATGCATGTGTATATATCTATATCTATACACATTGGTTTAAGAAATGTTTGTGTTGCTGTACCTGCTGTACGTTGGCCTGCAGAAGGTCTCCTAAGCGCTCCACAAGCTCAGTGAAGGTAGGTCTCTCGGTGGGCACTCCATGCCAGCAGTCCAGCATCGTTTGGTAGCTGTATAAACACACAGCGATTAAAGAAAAGGGGATAAGGTCTATGCTCTCAAGCAGTTTCTTACTGTTACTGCTTGTCTTGGTCATCATTTGGACAGTTTGGGATAAAACCAGGTGCAAATCTGTGTGTGCTCAAATTCAATTCTATTTTCCGCACAGGGTGTTCTTTACTTCTATATTCCTATTTCATTTGAGTCAGCAGATTTTATTCTCACCTAACTTTGAATTTGAATGATGGGCCCCACTGATGTTGCTGAAGCGGATTATAGTTCTGTATGGCTAATTTCTGTCTGGAAAGCAAGGCAGACACAACAGTCTCCTGAACTGAGATTCACAAGCTGCAACTGATGTTATCTGTCAGTCCCCTTACTAGGCAAAAGTCACGGCTTGCTCTTTCTTTAGCGTTGGTCTGTGGTATCATGATACCAGATTTGCACAGCCAAAACATTTACTAAAAGCAAGTACACAATATATAGCTGTCATCTGATGAGATGACAACTTCCTTATCTTCACCTAGATACACTGTATTTTGTGTTACTTGAATGGCATTTATAAGCTCTTAGTACACCAAGAGGAGCTCTTACACTTCTGGAGTAGAGTACTCAGGAGATCTCATCCGGGTTCCTTCTTTGAGTCGTCGGCAAAAATCTTCATCTATCTGCACTCCAGGATATGGTGAGGCACCTGATGGAGAAATCCAGAACAGCTCAGTCACTGCTGCCCACTCCAGTGAAATAAGCACAGTGAGAGCTGAGGGCTGGCAATGCCAGCTCAGCTGGCCCGCAGGAATTGCAGAGAGCTTCATGGGACTCAAATGCTTCTTCAAGGTCAGGCCCACTTTCTTTCAGTGAGAGTAACATAAAGATGCTTAAACATCTTCATAAGTTTGACCCCTCAAAAAATTAGTGAGTGGTTTTTGCATTAATGGCATAACAGACAAATTTGCCCACAGCTTTGAAACGTGGCCACTCTGATAGGAATTCAGCCAGCAAAGCCCTTCGGAAGGTGCGTGCTGATGCTGCCAATGCCCCAGACTATTCTTTGCTCTATAGCAATGACTGAGCAGTCCCCAAAGCTGCTGGAGATGCATCCAGTCTGCTAAAACCTCCCCACATGTTTTGGTTGCAAACGAAACTAACTCTTTCCTTCAGAGATTTCAGTCATGCTCACTCCTCCGCATTCGTAACATAGCCAGGGTAGAAGAAATAAATGTTTTTAGTTTGAGACTTCAGTGATCTCTTGGTCATTCACCTAGTTCTGTACTGTTTTCTAGCCGCCTTGTCTGCTAGCATCTTCCAATAAGTGAAGACACGTGAAGTAAATTAAGACCTGCTAATCACTTATTATTAATTCAGACCTCTCAGGTGAAATTCAAGAATGTCTGAAGCTGAAGCTAGAAATGTTCCTGAATGATTGCTGATGTGCCTGGAGCTGTGGAAGCTCTCCTGCCTCCCCTCCTCCTCAGCACATGTTTCGGATGCAGAGCAAACCTTTGCTTTCACATTCTGGCACTCCATAGGCTCGATGATGAATTTGAAAGAACATTTAATCAGGTCTTAACACAGGGGGCTGAAGGGGATCAGGATCTACAGCCAGGCCTTGAGGAATCCGTGTACGATTTATTCTCTCTGACATTCCTGCCTGATTCCCTGCATACTTTCTTTTCGCCAGTTTGGAAACACCATCGTGTACTGTGCACTTGGGGGCACAACAAGCACAGCAGAAATGTTTTGGATGAAGAACTGAAAAGGATGCCAGAATGTGGCTGAGCGCAGAATTATTCAACTCTCTGAATCTGACCACTCAATCTGCAAAACTGGGCGCTGGGGGCAAAACCACTGGCAGCTCCCTGTGAGGGTATCTCAGCGCAGCAAGCAGGCTCAGGTGACGCTCTGCACACTTAGCCACAGCACCTCTGCAATCCCTTGGTGTGAAAAATACCACTAGAAGTATCAAATCACAGTATCGGACTGTTCCCTCAAGTTAGATAGCCTGGAAATATCAGGGAGCATCCTCCACTAAAGGAAGAGCAGGGCTACGTAGCCTTTTCCTTTCATTTCCAACTGTGTTCTGTGATTTCGAGCCATTATATGGTATAGTTGACTGCAGTCATTTCATGGAGGAGCCATTCTGGCTCTGGCCTTTCTGACAAGCAGAAGAGCCTGTGCTTTGCTGAGGCTGACTGGCTGCCTCCTGCTCATGATCATAGCAGATTTTACTGGTAAGAACTAGACTTGCAAATACACTGATGCTCGTAAGACAACACTTGATGAGATAGGAGGAGAGATGGAGAACTTGATTTGTTCTGGCAATCTGAGTTACCTTTCTGTGATTATATCCAATGGAAATCAAATGCAATATTTTGGTGGGAGAGAGGACAGGGAAGGCAAGGAAAAATGATTCTTGGATGTCTTGGTGGTGGTTTGTCTTTTGGCCAGTGCTAGCCAGCTGGAGGCAGATCCAATCTCATAAGCAGGGAACTAACTCTCCCTTTTTCCCCTCCATTCATATATCATCTGCACTTTGTGATATGCCTAATAACTTCGATTTGAGATCCTGAGGTTCAGACATATGGTATAAGGTCTAAACATGACGTTTTCCTTAGGGGAAATCTGTTGCAAAACGCTCAAAGATGTGGCATGCACTGGATATGGTATCACTCTTTTGATCTTGCTTTTATTTCAGTAGGATAATAAGATGCTGATGTTTTACTGCCAGGCGCTGCTTGTTCACATAATTACCTTTGATTGCCTTGTGAGTGCTGCACATTTACATTCCAGGAGACACTGACATTTTGTAATGCACCGTGGAAGTGATTTCAAGATGTATTAAAAACTGCTGGCATTATCTGACACCAGGTGTTCTGACCCCATTTCAACAATTAATAGCAAAGCCTGGTGCAGAAGCAACCACAAATCTAAAGCATCAGTCCCTCGTGTTCACCTTTCCCTGGATCCAGTGGACCAACCATGCCGGAGGGAGCTTGTAGTCCTTCATTCGCCTTCTGACCCTGGCAAGACCCATGTCCAAACCAAACGGGGCATTTTGCTAGTCTCTATCTTTCCCTTTCTTTAAGAGTACTAAGCCTGGAGGACTCAGTAAAAGGCAGCAGCTATAGATGTGGGCCAAAACATACCCTGTAGCAACGACAAATAACTTTCATCCCCTGGCTCCCAATGATCAGTAAAACTTTTACATAAGAGAGTTCAATCAGTGACACAAATCCTTAATTAAATATTTATCGTGTGAGCTGCAGATATGAGTGGTGCCAAACCACAGACATGCCTGGATGAGTTGTATGAAAAACCCTCTTAGAGCAAATGAGTGGCTTTTGAACGCGTGCCATGAGTGCAGAAAGTGGTTCGTGATCTCCGTCCCAGGGAGGGCAGCGGCTGTTCCACGCATGGCAGCCCTGGCGTCACTTAGCGGCTTCCTCTGGATGCAGAAGAGGACGGGCTATTGTCGTAGCTGAGCACTTTCATTAAGAAGGGAGGCCGCATCAAATGAAAGGAAAGTAGCTAAATGATGAAAAAAGCTAATAATAGAGATGAATTTCAGTGAATATGCTATTATTTTTATTCGCTTTCGGTATTAAAGGCCAAATGATCAGAAGTTCACATCTGTTTGGCACCGTGAGGACCTTTAGGAATGGCACTAACAGTTTGCCTTCCAAAGTGGCCCTTGCCATTTATCAGCAATCAGTTCATCTGGTTCCTTGGAGATGCCCAGTGGAGAGACTTGGGCTTACTGGTCCCTGCTCCATAATCATCCGATAGTGCCGTTGCATTGCTGATGCTTCTGGAGCTTCGTCTTTCTGGGATATTTCACAGCATGGGCAGCAGGTGCTGCCCTTATAAAGCTGTGGAAGTAGTGCCCCAGAGTGGCAAACTCTGTGTATATATACACTTATGACTGAACTCCAGAGAAAGCCACAACTTTCCACTTGTGTATTTTAACCACTTGAGTGGGGACTTTCTCTGTCACATGCTGATATAAACTACAGAAAAACCCAAATCAAAGACTTGGACGGAAATCAGGTTGTGATCTTTGCAGCCAACCCTAACTAAAGCTTAGGATAAGACTTTGCATCCAGATCTGGACTTGGCATCTTGAGCCCGATCATTAATTTCAGCTGATCCGTGAACCACAGATAGCAGGGGATTACAGGGCTTGCTTTAAAATTCAGCAGCTTAAGCTCACAATGCTTCTTGTTTTCTTCTGTCTGCAAATGCTGATTAAGAAGCCAGAAGCTGACATTCCTAAATTCCCTCCGGAAAAAAAGCCTTGCCACTCTGCAAGGAGACTTTGGGAGCAGCATAGCCGAAGTATCTGGAAGGCTTGTCTGAATTTCAGGGCCTTATCTGCTGGACAGTAACCAGATCCCAGCAAGGCCCTGATTTCTAGCAGCACCATAAGGCAAATCTATGGAACGGAAAGGACAATATTACTGTTCTTTCAGGAACTTTGTGGCTTGCAAATGATATGGCCGGAAAAGTATGCAGTCCACCTGCGTGCTGCCAAAATAACTTACGCAAAGTCTAGCTCTGGTTCCCGTATCAATCCGATGGCAGCTCTTGCCAATACATTTTTCTAACTTAGAAAAACTTACTTAGATTTTGTGGAGGAGATAATGAAGCTGGGAGAAAGCGCCGTGCGGGCAAAACGCCTCGTGTTTCGCAGTCTGCCCCTGGCAACCTCAGCCCACGAAGCCAGCTGCTTCGGGGGACATACAGCTTGACAGGGAAACAATTTCATTGCTCTGGAAGAAATATTTTACTCCAGAGCAAGAGCAGTTTTTGCATTATCTCTATGCTCTGTTGGCCACAGTTATTACAAACGTCAATTCCAGGGTTTTTATTTTGTTTTGTTCCCTCATCCCAATATTCACTGTATTCCTGTGCTTTGCCTGACAGAGTTCTCATTGCCTTCAATTCAGGAACTTTATTTTGCATCTGATATGCACTGTGCACTTGTACTAGCTGGGAGAGAAACATAGCACCATGTTGTCTTCTTCTGTTAAGGGTTTTTCACAACTATAAAGCCATAGATTAGAAAAAACAAAAAAACAAAAACAAAACACAAATTTTAAACCAGTCTTACCTAAAGAAAATATTTCCCACAGCAGCACTCCAAAAGACCATACATCACTCTGCGTTGTGTAGATTTTATCAAAAATAGCCTCCGGAGCCATCCATTTGAGGGGAAGCCTTGCCTAAGGATGCAAAAGACAGGACATGTTGTGGTTGTTACCAGTCTGCCCTGGCCTGAGGGAAAACTGGAGCTCAGCATTTCCCTTTCCTTGCACTTACATCTCCTTTCCGTACATAGTCGGGGTCTTTGTAAATATCCCTGGCGAGTCCAAAGTCACAGATCTTCACCACGTTGTTTTCTGACAGGAGGATGTTCCTTGCTGCCAAATCCCGATGAATGCACTGTGGAGAAACAGGGGTGGGAGAGATCAGAGCTCTCCCCGGCATGGTTTAAGGCCTCCTTGGGAAGTGGAAAGGTAAAGGAGCTTTTGTTGGGAGCAGGTTAGAGTGGGAAGATACCTGTGGGAATCTGCTCTAACCATACTGCAAAAGAGAAAGTAGGAAAAAATAGAAAAAAGGAGCTGATTTTCAGACTTTTTCAATGTGAAATAACTTCTGCAGTTATCATGGGTCTAGGGCAGTGCCATTTTGGAGTTAATTATTCTGCAGCAAACTTGGGAGAGGTCCAAAAGGGGTCCCAAGAGGTCCAAAGCAGCTACAAAGCAGCAAGAAACACCAACTTGGCTGATAGTTGCCATTACTGAAAAGTAGGTGTGTGCTCCGTCTACATTTTCAGAAGTACTTTTGCTGACTGTACTAGAAGGATCTTTTTCTATGACAAAGTTTTCCTGAATTTATAAGACAGTGCTGTGAATGGGCTTATATTTTCACTCCTTCTATCTAAACTCACATTACAAATGCCAGTCCTTTTGGCCAAGAATATGTTGAAGACTCCTCTGTAACTCCTTCCGTGCTGCTTATTACATAATGGGAAGAGTTAATGTGATCTCCAACACCATATTACAGATGCAAACAAAAGATTAATCAGTCTCAAAAGTATATTTGGATTCCTTCACATCTGATAGTTATGATTTTATGTCAGAAGTTCAGCCCCGAAGTTTTGGTAAGCTCACTTTTCTGGAGGCAAGAAACTCCATGCCTTTGGCCACTTGGAAACTATAGCAAATCAGATCCTCCAAAGTCAAGGGCCGCTTGTACAAATCCTCAGCATCTAGGAGAGATCACAAACACAGCAAGGCAGTAGAGCAGCAGCTCTCAAACTTCTTCACCATCAGTCCCAGTATCGGGATGATAATCCCAGCCCTGCAGCTAAATGTTGTTGGGTTCATGGGCCCTCTTCAATGTGCCATAACTTCATCTTAAAGTTCCACCCACCATTAATCACATCAGTAACCACTGGGGAAAACAACATCTGGGGATAAATGTGAAAGGGACTGTTGATAGGCACAGCGTGAAGAGATTGGGAGCAGACTGGCCCCACAAATCTGGTAATATACTGCTATTGCTCCTCCTACACCAACAAAGCAACGTTTATACACATACATTATTGCAGATCTTTTGACATGAGAAAGCCAGAAGGGGGTACAGGGAAGAGAAAGAATTTGTGATCTCCAAAACAAGTCAGCAAACGGAATAAGGCCTGGTTTGTAAAGTGTGTAACTATGTGTGGCAGCGTTCAAGGTTGAGCAACAAGTAACAGAAATCTTTATAATAAAAGGTCTGGGAGCAGGTAGGTAGATTTCTTTTACCTTCTTCATCTTCTTCCGAGTCACTGTAACTCTTATCTTCAATGAATCCTGAGCTGGCAGAGCTTCCTGTGCTGGCTACGCTCTCAAGGCGCCTCTTGATCAGTTCCGTTAAATCACTGTTGGACTCGTCAAGACTTTTCTCTGCTTGGTCCGAGTTTTCCTGGGACTAGAAATTGTATAAACCTGATTTTCAGCTTTGATGATGCAATGCCCTGGCATTCAAAGACACTTGATGGAATGAAGGTGCTTAATAGAGGGCTATATGGAGCTATATGGAGAAGGGGCTCAAAGCATGTTTGAACATGATGATCCATGAGCAGCAGCAAAACTAATGAACTCTGTTTTCCTGCTGATTAGTACAGTGCTTCCTACCACTCCTATCCCAATAGCTACATACTTGTCCCATGAGAGCTTCCCCCTGCAGTATCTCAGTTCTCTCTTCTATCTCCTTTGGGAGCTCTTGGCCAGCTGCAAAGAGGTCAAATGGTGGCTGGTTTGGAGAATGTGCTGCTGCCTGGCTTGCTAAGGTGGCTTTTAGCTGTCCTATGACCTTAGCTAAATTCGCCTTGCCTTTTTCCAGACTTGCGTAACACAGCCTTTATTTGCTTTGAAAACTGTATAAACTTAATATCTACCAAATTTGGCTGATACCTCTAAGACAAATGGCTTGAAGATAGCTGAGTGAGACTGTTAGATGATCACAGAGTGTAGCTCTGTACATCTCACTTAAGCACCCAGGCTAAAATTACAGCAAGGTATGGGTATGATGTACACAGAAAATAACCTGCTTCACCCTCCCTGGGATAGAGAGCGTACCTGTCCCTTCAGTCCATGGAAACCACGTTGGGAAAGGCTGAGTGACCGTGCCAGAAAAATCTCCTTTTCTTACATAAGGCACCTTCTGTGCTGTCAGGCCTGCACACAGTATCCTATAATAATGAGTCGTCTGTAAAAATGACGCTAGGGAGACTCCAGTTTCTGGCAGGGCCTGGCTCCAAGAGCCCTTTTGATGCTGGATTTCCCAGCAAAGAGGCAGCACCAGCCTTTCCCTGTGGCCGCTGTATTCCCAGTTACACTCCTCCAGTTTGTGCTAGCACGAACACAAATGCTGCACACAAGCAGTGGGAAACCAAGTAAATCCCCAAGCATGACTAATGTTTGAGAGGGTTCCTGTCCTCCTAGCTCAGTCCATGCCAGCTTTTCAGGGCTTTTATTGTGCCCCCTTGTGCTGGGTGGCATCTCCTGAGAAGTCCCCTTTCTGTCCCAAGTACACAGGGCTGCTTGGGTGTTTGCAGCTGATTCTTCAGGAGGTGCTGGAGAACAGTTTGGCAGTGAGACCATCAGGGAAAAAGTTACATTTCTTTGCTCAAATGAGCTGAAATGTGGTAGGAAATTAAAGTGCCTATATAAATATATAAATAGAAACTGAGCTGTCTCAGTGCCAAGGCAGAACAAAACTCAGTCTGTCAATGGTCAGGAATCCTTTGCCTCAGATAATGAGAAGCCTGTTTGTTTCTGAGCTTTGTTTTTTGATTTTTTTTTACCTTGTATGCAATGAAATCTCCTCGCTTTCCTCTTAGGTAATTGGACAGATTTCCATATTTGCAATATTCTACTATGACCATCAAAGGACCTAAAAAGAGAGGGAAAGTCAAGTGAATTTGGAAGCTCAACAAAGCACTTACTTAGGTGACACCCTAGGGGTACATGGACAGTCGTGCTATTGCAGACACGGAAAGATGGGAATAGAGGTCTGAGTCTTCCTTTTTCTCCGCTACATGAGAACAGTTGTTTTTTATTCCTCACTTCTAGGCAAAGGAAAATTCCTAATGATAAAGGAGAATATACAGTCCCATGTATACATACAGCCCCATATGTTATTAAGATTGTCTATCATGGAAAAGCCCTTTTTCTCTGCAGCCTTTATGAATCTCTTTTCGGGGTGAGGCTGATGCCAGGGGAAGCAATAAAAACCCATGGTCACAGACAGGTCTAAATCAAAAGTTTGCAAAATATTTGGTCTGTTTCAGAGCCAGAAAAGTCCTGTAATTTTATTCCTTTCTTATTTCTGTGTAAACTGTGGTAGGGTTCAATGTGACTGCTGCACGAAGGGCGTCTCGGCCGGCCGTTCTTCTGAACAACATAAAGTCAAATGTCCCTCGAGAGTGCCCTGAGGAACCGTAGATCCACCACAGCTTTAAGGCTCCACTAAGTGCTTTATTCATGTTTTTGAAATGCTTCCCAGGCATAACCTCTCCATATTTTATATCCTCGTAGATCATATTCTACACATTACTGTGAGCTGCTTAACCTCCACCTCTCTGCCAAGGTGTTAAGATCTGTTATTTTTTATATTGTTAAAATAATGTACATGCCTGCTTAGTAGCCGTTCTCATCAGGAATAGCGTTACATGCTTATATATAACTTAACAAGGAAGGAGAGAGCACAGCATGCCGCAACAGCAGAACAGCTATTCAGCAGTTACTCTGCTGTCTGTCTCGGGAGCTCAAGGCTGGTTTTCTTTCGAGTCGTTGAATTGCTCGCAGGTCAACAACCCGCCGCCCGCCGCGACAGCAGGAACCCGAGGGGCTCCTGGGAGGAAAAGCTCCTTGGAGAAGGGACGGTCACACTACCTGATCCGTTACTTGGATGTATTTTGCTATGCAACTAGAAGCCTGTGGCTAAATTAGTGTTTTGGTTAATAAATATTGTCTTCTTAGCAACGCTGCCATGTTTTAGGCACCTGTGTGTGTTACGCTGCCTCATTGACTTGACAGGAGAGAAAAGTCACCCGTGTTCACCGTGTTGCTTCTCTGCTACTCACAGGCTATGTCCTTGCTGCCAGCTAGGGTTACTTGCATATGCATGTGAATCTTTTAAAGCCCCCTGGTTAGAGCTTGCCATCCTCCCAAACAAGCTTTTGGGGCTTGCAGAGCTACAAGAAGTTGTGCAAATTCCCCATCCACAGCTCCCAGATTGCAGCAGTATCTGCGGCTGCCATTTGTTGATGGCTCCTTGGGGATCTGGGAATATCTTGCCAGAGGGGAGATTTCTTTCCTGGCATCCTACCAAATCCACCTCACAGAAGTTTTCTTTTTCCCTCTTGACTGGACAACCACATGTTCTTTGAGAAACCTTCGCTTCAGAGTCTCAGCTGACAACAGATGTGTGTACCATCTCTCTCACTCT